GCGGAGTTTTCCTGTCAGTTCTGTGACTCCCAGACAGTTTTCCACTGCGCTGCTCAGCTTCCCATCGGTGGGATAAATAGGAAGGAATGAGGGATGCCTAGAGTAGCAGGTGTAGGAACCACAGTTTCTAACAGAATATTTAGAAAATGGGGCCTATTAATATCAAAGAATATGCAGGAAATTTTACAAGATGCCTTAATTAAAATCATTCCTTATTCCTGCAGGACTCAGGTCCTCATCTACATAGAGGAAAATGGAGCTAGTTCTATAAAAATAGACTAATGACTTTGGTGTTGATTTATGTTTATTGTAAATATACTAGACACGTCATTGGCCAAACATGTGCAGCATTTAAATAGTTCTAGAGAATAACACAGCACCTCCTCATGGGATTGTGTTTTCACATCTTGTGACCAGTGCATCAATTAGATTTTAGGAAAAACACTCTGCGAAGAAGCTGTTCTTTCAATACAAGCTTCTGCAAGTCTTTTTGGGGAGGGCCATGATTACAATTTTTGTAAATTCAATCATTGTTATCTTGTAAAGGCCCTCATTTTATTTTAACATTTTTTCACTTTTTTATGACAATAAATGGTTTGAAGATGATTTTTGTGTGTGTGTCATATTGCTAATTTGGTGTCAGTATATAACACAAAACGAATGTGTGTACATACAAGTAAAAACATATACATTGGAACATAATTCAGGCACACAAACTGAATTTTATAAAACTGGTTTTATAGAGAGAGAGCCATAATGGAAATTTTCAAAACACTGATGTAGGTTACTATTAAGATCAGTAGGAATGAGCAAGTTCTAACTGGGAGGTTATGCTAACAGACCTCATTTGCACATCTTAGGAAGGCTGGAGTGTTTATCTGGAAGATTCCATGTAATTTCTGTGGGTACTTTTAACTGTAGATTAGTACTGATGACCTCTTAGATTACTGATACCAAAAGATACAGAAAAACTGGAAGTATCTATACTAATAAGAGCCTAGGTGGCTCTCTGGCCCTTGGACCCTTACATCATCACAAGATGGCCGACAAAAGATGGCTGGCAGGGAGGACAGTTGGGGGTGATCAGGCTGGCAGGGGAGGGCAGTTGGGGGTGAGCAGGCAAGCAGGGGAGGGCATTTGGGAGCAAACAGGCTGGCAGGGGAGGAGAGTTGGGGGCGATCAGGCATGCAGGCAGGCGAGCATTTAGAAGCCAGCAGTCCCGGATTGTGAGAGGGATGTCCGACTGCCAGTGTAGGCCCAATCCTAGTCCCAGATTGGAGAGGGTGCAGCCTGGCCTGACCGACACCCTCTCCCTCCCCCCCACCCCAGTGCATGAATTTCATGCACCGGGTCTCTAGTAGTATTAATATTAGCCCCCTTACATCCAAGGACATTACTGCTGCAGATCCCTGCTCCTGAGAATCCCCAAAGGGTCCTTCCTTGTACTTAAGGAAAAACTTACCTTTTTAGGAAAAAAATCAGCACCATGTGACGCCTAAGTGAATCAGGGCTTCTTTTTTACTGCAGTGCATTTCTAATCTAGTGATATGTAAGAGTAACCTTCATTTTCTGATGAAAAAAAAGGCTTGCTAGTGATCTTCCCGGGTTCAGTGACAGGTATTCCTCCCCATTTCCAAGGCAGGTGGTGTGCCATACACTGTGTTTAACTACAAAGGAGATGAGACATACCTCTATTTAGTCAATGATAATGTAAATATTTATTGGATACCTACTCTTTGTTGGGAATCTATTTGTGCTAGATCCTTTTGTAGGAGTGAGGCAGAGACAGACTCAGCCTCCTGTAGCTTATACTCTAAGAGGGAAAAAAGGTCATCAAATACGTAAATAAGATGCTTATAGATCACTAGAGGTCTGGTGCACAAAATTCGTGCATACTTGGGGGGGGGGCCCTCAGCCTGGCCTGTGCCTTCTTGCAGTCTGGGAGCCCTTGAGGGGTCCCTAACTGCCTGCAGAAGGACCCATGGGGAGCGTGCCTAAGCTGGCAATGCTTAGTGCTGCCATGGAGGCAGGAGAGCCTCCAGCCACTGCCGCTGCACTCTCCAGCTGTGAGTACGGCTTTTGGCTGAGAGGCACTCCCACTGTGGGAGCACACTGACCACCAGGTGCAGCTCCTGGGTTGAGCGTCTGCCCCCTGGTAGTCAGTGAACATTATAATGACCAGTTGTTCCACCGCTCAGTCTATTTGCATATTAGCCTTTTATGCCTGTGGTATCTGGCCAAAACCAGCCCTTCAACGACCCCTGAGGGGTTCTGGATTGCAAGAGGGCACAGGCTAGGCCAAGGGACCCCACCGGTGCATGATTGGGGCTGCAGAGGGACACGGGAGGTTGACCAGCTAGGGAGGGACTGCAGGAGGGCTCCAGGGCATGTCTGGCCTGTCTTGCTCAGTCCCAATTGGCCAGACCACAGCAGCAAGCTCACCTACTGGTCCGAGCATCTGCCCCCTGATGGTCAGTGCTTGCCATAGAGACTGGTTGACAGATCATCTGTCTCCCCCTGGTGTTCAGTGCGTGTCATAGTGAGTGGTTGAGTGGCCTTAGCATATCATTAACATATTACTCTTTTTAAAAATATATATTTTATTGATTTTTTTACAGAGAGGAAGGGAGAGAGATAGTTAGAAACATCAATGAGAGAGAAACATCGATCAGCTGCCTCCTGCACATCTCCCACTAGGGATGTGCCCGCAACACAGGTACATACCCTTGACCAGAATCGAACATGGGACCTTTTAGTCCACAGGTCAACGCTCTATCCACTGACCCAAACTGGTTTCGGCCTACATAGTACATTTTGATTGGTTGAACAAAGTACCGGATGACCGGCCACTTCGCATATTAGGCTTTTATTATATAGGATAGTAAATGCCATGAAGGTGATTTAAAAGGGCCATGCCCAAGAAGGTATTGCGGTCGGGGGTAGTGCTAGTTTACCCAGGATTGTTAGGGGTGACATGCCGAGAAGATGGGAGTTTTAATCATGAAGTGAACCAGGAAAAGCAGCTCATGAAAACCTGATGTAAAAGCACATTCTCCACAGGGGTAAGAACAAAGGCAAAGGCTCTGAGGCAGGAATAAACTCAGCATGTTCACAGAACAGAAAGCGGGCCAATAGGACTGAAAGGTAGTGAATAAAGGGGAGAGGAGGTAAGGATCGGATTCTATAGGGGCTTGAGGAGTATGGCAAGGATTTTAGATTTTCTTCTGGACCCAATGCAAGTCCCTGGAAAGTTCCAGGAAGAGGATTGACATGATCTGGAGCAAAGGATCATTCATATCCCTGAGCATTCCTATCACCAGTTTATTTCTTAACGAACAGTCTGGGCACATGAACTGAAAAGGCTGATGTGTGCTTATGGGATCAATAGGATAGAATATCTCAAGTCAGAAATGTTTGGAGAAAACCTAGGATGAATGTGCACCCTGTCTCTAATTATGCTTAGCCTTCTTCATCTTGTCATGGGGAATAAAAAGACTGGATTCTTTGGTCTGTCTGATTTAGAGGAGGTGTTTCTTAAGGGTTATTTAATAGAAATTTGAAGGAGTTCCCAAAGGAGTTGGGAGCAGATGACACAGCAGGGCTCATAAACAGGTTTTTATCAGTGTCACCACCATTGTGAAGCAATGGGTTGAGAGTTCACCCCTTCCCACTCCTCTCACCTTCTCCATTATCACTGTTCCCTTTGCACCTCACTCTTTCTCTTTCACACCCTATCAGCACTCTATTACAGTTGAGGAAAGGTGTTATCCAAATTTCAGCTTTCTTCTCAGTAGTAACCCAGGATTTGGGTAACACTGGTATTTCTCTCTCCTACCCTCCCTTTCCCCCTTTCCTTTCCCCCTGTTTCTTCCCCTTCTTTTTTCCCTCCTCTCTCCCAACTCGTTTTCTAGTAGAAGCCCACCCAGGACTTCAGAAAGTCCCACACCACAAATGTTTAACATCCACCAAGGTAGAGAAACAGTTTCTGAAAAAGAAGATTGATGATTTTTTTTCTGGATCATCACGTTTATTAGAAAATTTGGAGAACCAAATACTGTAATAACAAGCCCCACAAACGTAGGAGCCAAGGAGCAGGGGAGGAAAGGGACACAGGAAAAAGTCCAGTCTCTGAAGTTTCAGTGGGGGCTGAGAAGTGGACTCTCAAGAGAGGGCAGCCTCTCCTCTTGACCGCCAGGGGACGCCAAACAGTCTTCCAAGCTCAGCAGGCTTTCTGGAAAAGATGTTTCCCAAGGCCCCACTTGAATACCCTTTTTTTTTTTAACCACCCACACCACCCTTTACTTTCCCCAGCTTCTGCTGCAGAAGCAGGACCTAGAATAGGGCTCCAGAGAGGGGTTTTCATTAGAAACTTGCCTGGTTCGCGCTCCAGTCTCCGAAATGCCTTCATTACCTGGGAACCAGGCTCTGGATAGCATTGGGGGAGCTCTAGGTCGCTGCCTCCTAGACTGTGTTGGGGAACAGCTGGATCGCCGCCTCCCACACAGCATCAGGGGGCCCTGGGTCGCCTTCTCTTGAACAGCATCAAGGGACCGCTGAGTCACCTTCTCTTGAACAGTTTCAGGCCACAGCTGGGTCGTCTTGTCCTGGACATCTTCGGGGGACCATTGGTTTGCCTTCTCTTGAACAGCATCGGGGGACTGCTGGGTCGCAGCCTCCCGGACTTTGTCGGGGGAGGCCTGGAGCCCTGCCACCTGGACTGCAGCGGAGAAGTTCCCTGGCTCAGCCTGCTGGGCAGCGTTCTTCAGCGCACCTTGTGCCGGGCCTTGGCGGTGATAGTGAGCCAAGTTCATGATGATCTTGGACACATCTTTTCAGCCGTTTGCACGCCTCCATTGTCGGCTACACCACGTGCTCTCTCCTGGAACTGGCAGCGTTTCTTTCTGGCGCCGCTGTCCCTGAGCTGGTTATGTCCATCCTCTGGCTTAGCTCCCGGACCACGTGCCCCGCCTTCCTGGAGCTCTCACCTGCACCATCGAGTTAACTGTGCTCCCGCCTTCACCGTTCAAGATTTTAAAAAATTACGTGGGTTGGACTTTAGTCCTTCTAAATCCCTTCTTCTTGGGGGGTGCCCCACAGCATGTGCATTTTAAAATGACTCTCAAGGCCCTTCTAAGCCACCCCGGCCGGCCCTGGCTGTGGCCAGAGGGAGAGACTGGGCTGCCCCCATCAGCCTGCCCAGTGTGGAGGCCGCTTTCAGGGGCGGCTCCCCCTTTGGCTCCACCCCTGCTGATGGTGCTCAAGACTGGGCTGGGGGTGGCTGTCCTGAACTCAGTGGAGTTGATTGGGGGAGTGGCGGCTATGGCTTCCAGGCTGGGTGGGGGAGTGGTCGCGTTCGACCCCGGGCAGTCTGTGTCTTCCGTCTCCTCCTCAGCCTGCCCAGTGTCTAGGCCGCTTTCCTGCGCGGCTCCCCCTCGGGCTCTACCCCTGCTGATGGTGCTCCTGTGGCTTCTGTTGCGAATGGTGGGGGAGCCCACAGGGCCGCGCTTCAGGACTGGGCTGGGGGTGGCTGTCCTGAACTCAGTGGAGGTGATTGGGGGAGCTGCGGCTATGGCTTCCAGGCTGGGTGGGGGAGTGGTCGCGTTCGAGCCTGGGCAGTCTAGGTCTTCCCTCTCCTCCTCAGCCTGCCCGGTGTGGAGGCCGCGTTCATGGGCGGCTCCCCCTGCCGCTCCCCCACTGCTGACACTGCTGTTGCTGTGGCTATTGTTGCCCATGGTGGGGGAGCCCCCAGGGCCGCGCTTCAGGACTGGGCTGGGGGTAGCTGTCCTGAACGCAGGGGGGTCGGCTGGGGCACTGGTGGATATGGTTTCCACCAGGTTGGGTGGGGGAGTGGTCACCTTCCACCCCGGGCAGCCTAGTGAACAGGAAGGCTCTTCAGTCTTTTTATCAACTGACTGACCGACCTCCTGGCTGGATAAAATGCTCCTGGCCTCAAGGGAGGGGTAGGGCCTTACCCGGATGGTGCGGCCGGGCATCTTAGGCTGTGTCATCTTTAGGATGCGGTACGTCCCCATCACTCTGTCAAATCTTCTGTTTGTCAGGGACTGCTGGATCTGGTCCTGCTTGAAGCCCAGGTCCAGCATCACTGCGGTGACGTGGGGGTCCAAGTCCTCCTGGGGCGGCTCGCTGTAGGGCCGCAGTGGCTCATCCTCCTGGCCCACGTTGAGCCAGCGGTCCTCCATGACCTCTTCCATGGTCGGCCTCTTTTGGGGGTCCAGAGTGAGTAAGCGATTTAACAAATTTTTGCCCCGCCTGCTCACGAAGTTCGGCTCTTCAAACTTCCCCGCCAGGATCTTCTGCCTCTGTCGCACAATGTTGTCCCCCCGGAACGGCACCTTTCCCGTCAGCATCTTGTATAAGGTCACCCCCAAGCTCCAGACGTCAGCTTTGCAGCCATCGTAGTCTTGTCTCTTCATGATCTCGGGCGCCATGTAATAGATGGTGCCGCAGAAGGTGCTCAGTTTCTGGCCCTTGGCTTCCTTCCCGAAACCAAAGTCGGCCAGTCTGATGCTCCTGTTGGCATCTAGGAGGATGTTGGCGGGCTTCAGGTCCCGGTGGGCGATGCCCCTGTGGTGGCAGTACTGGAGCGCCGACACCAGCTCCCGGAACGCGGCCCGTGCTTCTCGCTCAGTCAGGCGGCCGGAGGTCTCCAGGTGTTCTCGGAGGTCCCCTCCCCTCACGTACTCCATCACCAGGTAAAACTTGTCCTGGGTGACAATCACCTCAAACAGTGAAGTGATGTTTGGGTGGTTTAAGCTCTCAAGACAATGGGCTTCTTGAGGCAACTCAGAACTGCCCTTTCGATCGATGGTTTTGATAACCACCTCGGTGGCAGTTGGCACGTGCCGGGCCAAGCTCACCGTGGCCCACGCTCCCTTCCCTATTGTTCGCAGGAGCACATAATCGCCAACGAAGTGCACCTGGGGAACGGGAGGGGTGGAAAAGTGGGAAGAGGAGGTTGCCAAGTCAGACATGGTGTTCAAAGAACACAAACAAGATCAAACAATGGCAACAACAAGCAAAGGAGTCCAAGTCCACAGGTCACCAAAAACAGCTTCCTGGGCTATAACGGACGAAATCCTCGGCCCAGACAGGGCCTTATATAGGAGTGCTTTGCAATTCCATCACAATGGCGCCATCTGAGGTCAGAGCCACAAATGGACCAATCATGGCTGGGGATAAGCCACAGTGGTAGTGGTTTTCTCACTTTTTGGTCTCATGACCTTTATACTCTCTGGAAAAAACAAAAGACACACACTTTTGTTTATGTGGGATATTAGATTGATATTTTATTAAAAAGAAAACGCTATAAGATGTGTGCCCGAGGAAAATCTGACTTATTCTCATGCTCAAATTCTCAGTTCAGATATCCCTGATCCATCCATTCCTACCTGCCTCACTCAGGCCATCACATTTGTCATCTTCATAGCATGGACCACAGTGGGGCTGAGCCTTGTTTACTGTCTGTCTTTCCCATGAAGGAAAGAGCATGACTATGGTGTTCCCTGAGTCTAGCACAGTGAGTGGCCATAAAATAAGTGTTTCATAAATGTTTGTTCACTGGATTAACAGAAGAGCTTGTGGTAACAACAGAAAATATGGCCAACTCTTTAATCAAAGGGATTCATAAAAACGTTTTAAAAAACAGTTATGTTCAGTCCTCACTCAGCTTTGGGGGCAGATAAGATAGGACAGAGGAGGTTTGAAGTCTGTTTATCCAGGTGTGTGGTTGCTTTGTGAGACTGAGGAAAAGCCAGCTGGTAGGAGCCTCGCTGTAAAGATTAAAGAAGATGATTCGTCCTTCCACTGGTACTTGCTAAGGATGTAATAAGTTTGGACCTGCAGTAAGGCTGCAAGGTGTTTTTACCTTTTGAATATCCATTTCCAGATGACACAAAAGACTTCTCTGGATTAACGGATGTCTGCAGAGGTACAAAGGGTGGGGTAATATGTTGGGGCAAATTCTACCCTTTACGGAGGCAGAGAGGGAGCAGGCAGGCTTGAGGACACTGGAGGGGCCTCTGGCACATTCTATTTCAAACTCATCTTCTAAGAAAAATCCTTACTTTCCGTCCATTGGGTGTTTTACTTATGATGTTATTCTAGTAATCATTTTCCTTTAACACTTCCCTCCTAAAGTCTCAGCTTTGTATAAAGGGAATCTTTAGAGGGATTATTAGCCTGTGAGCTTCTCCCACTAGAACACTTTAGTTTGTTCATTTTTACCTTACTGCAGTGATGCTCAGCTCTTAAACATGATAGTCTCTGTTGCTGAGCCGATTGGGATCCAAATGGGGGACATTTCATCACTTCTAGACAGATGTTTACAAGTTACAGTCAGAGATTACAATAAGCTCAGGAAAGAAAAGAGAAAATTTCAAAGAAAGTTGCCAGTGTTGAGTTAATTATGTCTATTTATAAAATTGTATTAATAGTTACTTAAATAATATCAACAGAATAGAATATTCTCTTAGCATAATGATCTCTTTCAGCAAGGTAAACACAGACTCAAAGATAAGACATTTAATGTAAAACTGTCCAGGGAAAAGTCAAGCTAGAAAAAAAAATCATTTTTTCCAATATGCTACATCAATTATAGGCTTCTGATTGTGCCCACATGAGCATGTAGCTTTTTTATGTTTTTACTTTTTATTTCTTTTTACTTTCTTTTGTTTGCCTGTGTTTTTTTCCCATTGACCCCCTCCTCCCCACACCTCCCCTCTACAGCCTTCACCACACCATTGTCTGTGTCCATGGGCTATGCATATGTGCATGTAAGTTCTCCGGTTAATCTCTCCCCTCCCAACCCCAACCCCCACCTTCTCTCTGAAATTCATCATTCTGTTCCATGGTTCGATGTCTCTGGATCTATTTTGTTCATCAGCTTATTTTGTTCATTAGTTTCCACATATGAGCGAGATAATGTGATACTTCTCTTTCTCTGACTGGCTTATTTTGCTTAGCATAATGCTCTCCAGGTCCATCCATGCTGTTGCAAAGGGTAATAGTTCCTTCTTTTTATAGCAGCATAGTATTCCATTGTGTAGATGTACCACAGGTTTTTTATCCACTCATCTGCTGATGGGCACTTGGGCTGTTTCCAGATCTTAGTTGTTTTAAATTGTGCTGCTATGAACATAGGGGTGCATATATTTTTTTCTGATTGGTGTTTCAGGTCTCTTAGGATATGTTCCTAGAAGTGGGATCACCGGATCAAATGGGATTTTGTCTCCAGACAGAGCCCAGCCCTCCACCAACTTGGCCACTTAGACAGTTGAACTACAGCCCATTTGCTGAATTCCACAACCAAGTCCTAAAAGACAGCAAGGGCAGCCCCTTTCTGACTAGTCCTGCCCTCCTTGGTCCTCTCTGAGCTGCTGGCCTTGCCTTCTGGCCTCCAAGACCTCTGTGTGGTCTCACTTCTCCCAGGCAAGGACCTGGCCCCTGCTCTGGCAGCCACCTCCTCCCATAGCTGGGGTCAGGCACTGTTCTCTCCCCGGGAGTGCAGTCTTTGCTCCTGCTGCCTCCCATTGTGGGACCTATAAGGAAGGAGATGAAGCTTCAAGGTGAGCAAAGAGAGTTAGGTGGGAAGTACAATAAGTGTGAGGTGTAAAATAGTAATACTAACATAAGATAAACACAGGGCTCTTTGGGAATACGGGTCAGGGAGCTGATAATGCTGCCACTGGGTCAGAGATAGGTCCAGGACAGTTTTTCTGCTAATCACTTTCTCTAGTTTCTAAGAGAAACAATGGTCAGCGAGGCCGGATACTATAACTTGAAAGAGTATTAACAGCAGTATCCAGGTTTTCAGGGAGTTGAGTTGTCTGCCCTGATTGCAGGTCAGTTTTAGAATGTGCTAAAGCAGGTCACCATCCATTTCTTTCATTGTTATAACTGCATGTATGCAATTGCAGCAATACCTCTGCTGTGTCATTCTCTTTCTAGCTTAACAGACAGTCTTAAACCTCTGGATAATCCTACATTCCAGATACTTTGTTTTGTTTTTTTTTAAATAAGCCGTGTGTGTGTGTGTGTGTGTGTGTGTGTGTGTGTGTGTGTGTTGCAGGAGAAAAGGCAAATGGAGAGAAAATTGAGGAAAAAGGAGGTGAAACCAAAATAGTTTTACTTGTTTTTTTTTTAAAAATCGGGCTTTAGGGGAAAGGTATTATGCCCAAGGATAAAACACCCATCAACAAAATTGATCTAAAGAAAGATCAAGCCCCATGTCCTTAATTTTATTGGCATTATGCTCTAATCAACCAATGAATTAAGAGATGAAAGGACATTTTGTTCAATTGTGGTCACAATGAAGTCAATGCCTTTTTCCGCAGTGGCAGTTTTCTAAGGGCCAAAGAGCATTTTAAAATGCTTTTGTTGAGATGCCTTATTGGCAATTCTGCCTTGGTATCAGTGGAGGGAGTCATTTAATTCCCGTCCTCTGCGTTCATTCCGATGGTGTCTGGAAGGTAGGAGGAGCTATTTATACACATGTGCACTGGGAGGGGAGAGGCTCCACAACTCACCATCTAACTGCATGCAGAATCCTGGCATCGCTTGCTTTATCCTCTGCTGCGCATTGTACCACCACGCGTCGGGTACCAGGCACACGAAATTATGAATAAACGAACAATTGGCTCAGCCTCCACAGTGCATGACAAATGTTTTTTATGAACATTAAATTCATTCTTTTCTAATTTGAGAGAAAATTGACCTTGTTTCTGGCATCAATTTCCACTTGTCTTCCTCCCGGCAGCATGGATTGTCTATTTCTCTGATGCAGAAAAGCATAGCTCTCTTGTTTGTCTGTTTTGCAAACTCTGTACATTTCCCTGGGAAACCTTTGCTGTCTTTACCACTCACTTGTACAGATTCCAGTGGGTGATTCAAATCTGTTCAAGTTTCATGCCACTGTCTGTTTCTTGGTCTCCAGGTTCAGGCAAAGTATTATCTCTTCCAGGCGGCCTTTCCTTTGCATGTCCTGCAGTGCCTCAACAAACCGAGCCTGGTATACAGTGGTGCTCACTGACTGCTTAGTGAATAATTGAGAGCTTCCTGGAATGTTAAGATTGATTTTTCTCTCAGTATTTGAAATTTTATACAGTAACCACAGAAATAAGCCTTGTGGACAAATATTTACCTTACTTAAATAAATATAGATTTTCCCCCCCATTACTAAGTAAGGTCTCACTGCACTAGCCTCAATGCCTATCCTCAAGTATGCAAAACTTACTTTTTGTGTCAGGACCAATGCATTAAAAGAAATAATCACTTTCAACATATTTTGCATTTAAATGAACACTGTGGACAAATATTGAAATATCTCTTGAAGGATGGGCTATCTTTTTGGAGGGAAACAGCCCTGTTTGGATAGTGGCCTGGTATTTTTCTTAATCAGTCCTTTTTGATCTGGTGTTTACTTTGGACTTGTTAAAGTAAAACTTTTTTGACACTTGTTAACGTGATAAGGAAGACTTTATTCAGGACTGTATTTCGATATAAGGCAAGACTGTTGCAATAGAGGAGAAAGACCAGACTCAACTCCAAATACAGCCAAGACAGCTGGGGATTTATAGCCAATAAGAAGAATGAGGGGTCAGTGGATGGAAATTAATAAGAGGAGACATCAAAGGTAGGGGATTCTTGCTAAACCTATTTAACAGGATTCTTGCTGAAGGCAGGCCAAGGACTAATATATCAAAGATGGGAGATGAGATCATTGGTCACATATCAAGGGAGATCACATATCAAGGGTGAGGATTCTCTCTAAACTGATTTAAGATTCTTGCTCAAACTGGACCTGGCAGGCTGAGGACCGAATAAGGACAAAGTCGAGTAGTAAACAGGGCTCAGAGGAACCTGTCTACAGTTAGGTCAATGAAAGAGTCTTTGTCTACAGTCATTTTCTTGGCCTATTGAGCACCACTGTGTACCAAACCGACAGAACAGAGTGGTGTCTAATGGTGATTTCTGAGCAGGGCACTCATTATGGCTTAAATTGCAGCTGTCAAGCATTGTTGTTGATTTTGTATAAATGTACTCATCCCTCCCTACGTCCTGTGTGCAGCCAGTTTGCTTGCATAGAAGCTGTTTTGTTTTTCTGATGCTATTTCAAGCTGTTGTTAATGTTCTTTTATCCAACTATAAATATACCTTTTGATTATTTTTCATTTTTAGCTTAAAATTTCAAAAAAATGATGCACTTGGTTCACATTTCACAAAATCAGATGGTCACAGTTGGGGGACTTCTCTTCTTGTGCGTAATTTAGACTGGATGCAGAGACTACCTTCAAATAGTTCAACAACGGAGAAAGTGTACACATTTATATTATTGGATTATTTAATTCTAAAGCCACTCTATAAACAAGTATTACCAAAAGCAACATATGTAAAGGCAATGTATACTCTCAGCTATTCTCCCCTTTCTGATTCTCTGTATTCCTCTCATTCCAGGGCTGCCTCCAGTTCTTTCATTCCATGCCTTTAATTGACCTTCACTTTCATACTCAGCTCCCTTCTAGACTATCATAAAGAGAAACGACCTGAAGGATTCCACCAGAAAGTGACTTAGAGGTCTACCTCTTTCAAGTCATGTGCATTCTAGAGTAGTCATCTCAGGCCATGTGGAATAAACTGAAGTGAAATATTTTTGGAGCAATTGGAGATTATCAGCAGCCCCTTAAATCTTAGCTCATTGGCAAAACCTAGTTGTGATTATGACTCTACTTATGACCCTGACCATAAATATTTTTTAAAACATATTGGCCAATGCCTACTTTTTTCTATTTATTCTTCCTTTTCTGTAGAAGACTGTGAGCTTCTTAAAGTCAGGGTTCATTCTTCCTCAATTGTGTATTCACTACAGAGCTATCTTACTCAATTTGTTTGCTGAATTATAAGCTTCAATAAGGCCCTTAACATCACTCTCATTCGAAAGTAAAAAAAGGACAAATATCTAAAATTGTTCTTTAGTTTGCCACGATTTATTTTAGTATAGAGATCAGTAAGGTATTTTCATTATTATTATTTTCTTTTCTGAAAATATCTTTAATATAAATACCTTAAAATTTATTTAATATTTGTGACTTTTCAGGCAATTTGATATAGATGATCAATAGACTGTTTATAAGGTAGAATGAAATAGGCCTCCAAGGCAACATGAGAGCTATGAACCAACTGTAACTCAAATCACTGTATAAGTAGAGAAACTCCAAAATCTTAAACCATATCAGCCTTATTCTATATAGCTCCCTTCCAGATTATCAATTTCAATCTTCATTTGTAACTTTATTTACAAATAATGTCAGGCTACCTAAGAAGGACAAGAATAGTATTATCATATACCCTTCACCTAGTTTCCCCTGTTATT